GCTCTGTCCCCTCCCCTCTGCGCTCTGTCCCCTCCCCTCTGCGCTCTGTCCCCCTCCTCTGCCTCTGCCTGCTTCCTCGAGGGCTTGTAAGGGGGATGTGAACCAGCTCACCCTCAGGAGGGGACGTGCGCCGTCTGTGCCGCGTAGGGCCGCTCCGGGTGGGCCGGGCTTCCCGATTCCTGGCGTGTCGGAGGCCTCGCTTCTGGCCCTCCAGGCTTCGGGCCTGGGCCACGGCCCTCTCCTGCCCCCGCCCCCCGCGCTAGTGCCCGCGGCCTCTACTCAGCAGACAGACTGCGCTGTCCTGGCCAGAAACCCAGGGCGTGAGCTGACTTGGCCGCGCGGGAACGCTGGCAGCTGCGTTCTTAGCAGAACTCGCTGGGCCACGTGCTGCTTGTTTACCAGCGGATGGGTGGACTCTGGGCCCGTGGGTATGACGGGGGTGGGAGAGAATGGAAGCCAACACCGGACCCCGATGGAGCCTGCACTCCGGTGTCGTCGAGGGGACGTCCTGTGAGCCAGCCCGAGCCACAGCGCTGGCACTGGACATACACCCAGCACTTGCCGCCTCCAGCCAGGCCGGGTCTCTGCGTCAGAGATGGACAGCTGCATTGTCCTGAGCACCCACGCTCAGGACAGCCCCCCTCCCCCTCAAAGATGGAGGCGGCGGCCGGGGAGCCCGGTCCCGCACCAGGGCGCTGTCGGGAGCCAGCACCGTGTGTTCGCGTATTTATTTGCCTTGTGGGTGCGTGCGGGTGCGGGTGCATCTTCTGAGTGGGCCCCTGTGGGTTCAGTTGCTGGTGAGGCTCCCCTGTGTCGGACCCAGGCCTTTCGTGGATTAACGTCTCTGCAATGGACGTGTCGTTTCCAGGACGTCTTTGCTACTCGTCCCCAGTGCCTCACGGGTTTCTTACACACGCTTGCGCATGCGGGTAACATGCGGTGTGACCCTGCTTCTTACAGAAGCGTCCCGGAGGTATCTCCAATATTGTTTGGTTTATTAGACAGGTGTTTTTATATATGCAGCCCCCGCCGGTGCCAGTGGTGCCGCCTGGTCGCGGTTCCTCCGAGGCCTTTCCCCGGAGGGCACGTCTGTCTGTTGCCTTCGCTGGTCCCCCCCCGTCGGGGCCCCGGGGCCACTCCCAGCGTCCCAAACCAAAGTGACACGGGCGCTCCTCAGCCTGCCGCGACGTCCTCTGTCTGCCCAAAGCTGCGTCCGTGCGTCCGTGCGCCCAGCCCCGTCAGGTATGTTAACTGCCCCACAGTCACGCTGTACTTTGATTAATATTTAACATAATTAAATGTGCCGGGACCGGTACCAGGAGCGGCTGCTCTTCCTCCTCGGGCCGTCAGCTGGGGGGTCCTCGGGCCTGCGGGGAGCGTCTGCCTGGGGGTCCTCGGCGTCTGGGGACAGCGAGAACTGGACACGCCCTGTGGGGCAGCGTGGGCACTCCCCGGGCGCGGGGCCCACGTGGCCGAGTGGGTGGCGAGCCCTGGCCTCGCCCCGGGCAGGCCCAGTGTCGTCTTCCGATGGAGTTTGGGTTACGTGGGCCCTGCTGCTTCCCCTCGGGGCCTCTCGGTGTGGCCTGCTGGACCCCAGGGGCAGTGGGGGCCGTGGCCTCGCTGGGCATGAGTCCTCATCACCAGATTGTGTCCCCTGACTGCCCGGGGGTGGGGAGCACCATGAGGGAATGGACGGTGGGGCCGTCTCAGGTTTGGGGTTCTGGCAGCTGGGCTGTCCTGGGGACCTGAGCCTGACTTGGTCCCCAGTCCTGGAAACAGCCACCCTGGGCAAGCGTCTCCCCTGCAGAGGCCCCTAGCCCTGTTGGAATGTAGGGGGGAGGGGGCTGGTGGCGTCCAGGTCTGGACGTGAGGGGTCCCCCTCGGTTCATGGAGCCAGGAGCGGCTTTTCTCAGCAGCGGTATGCTTCAGGGAGGAAAGGGTGTGGGGGGTGCAGGCAGGACGGGGGTCAAGTCTGCACCCCCAAGCCCTCCACGCTGGAAGACCACACCCTCCCCCACCTTCCCCAGTGACCCTGTTTGGGAAGTGAAGCGGGTCACTCCTGGGGGCGCTGCAGGGGTGCGTGGGTGGGAGTCTTGCTGCTCCAGAAACCGCACTCTGCAGCGCCAACATGCCCGCCGGGACGGGCGGAGACCCCGCCTGCCGGAGCGCACCCTGCCAGGCAGCTCTGCGGAGCAGGACGGGGGTGGGGGGCAGGTCCAGACAGGCCGTGGCGGCCTGGCCCTGGGCGCCATGTCCATGTGGTTGCTGTGACCTTTCGCCCTGGACTCTGGCTGAAAACCACCGATTTGTTACCTCTCAGCTCTGGGGGGCGTGAACCCCTGTTCTGGGGCTGCTACTCCCCTACACCCCGTGGTGACACAGGACATCTGCAAAGCCCCTTTGGCCCTGTGGGGTGACGCAGTTACAGATTCCTGGATTAGGACGTGGACCCCTTTGGGGGCCATTATTCAGCCGGCCACAGGGGGACCCGGAGTTGGGGGCCCCGGGGCGAAGCGGCTCTGCCAGGCCTAGCCGGGTGAGCGGTGGGCGCTGCCGGGCATGGCGTGTCTGTCCCAAGACGGTGGTGTGGGTCCGGGCTTTGCCCCGGGCAGGAGTCGGCGGGGAGGGGAGGGGAGGCGCGGGGAGAGGGCTGCCTTTCTCCTGTCTTCAAACCTCAAGTCCCACTTTTGGTGGTTTCTCCCAGGTGAAAGTTGGGGAGCCACAGGGCGCCCCAAACTGAGGCGTCTTCCCCAGCTTGGCGTGGGATGGCGCCGAGTGTGTCCGAGTCTGGCTCAGTTCCCGGGCCCGCAGCAGCCACTCGGCCAGATTTGAGTTTCTGAGGTTCCACTGTTTCCCTCTCCGCCACGCCTCAAGGGGGCAGCTGAGACAGCCACGGAGACGGAGTGTGTTTGGCCCCTGAGAAACCCTGGGC